GCTGTTTCCCTTCCCGCAGGAAAATGTGAATTTATATGATGGCTCTGCGCTCCCAAGGCACGTTAGAGCCAGGAGATCTACCAAGCACGAGACACACACGGTAAAGACCCCATTTCACCGCAGCGGCTTCGGTATAGCTTGTGTGCAAGAGCAGAGCCACCAGCGTGATCCAGGAGGAAGCGGTGACCCTTCCTTATTGGATCCATCACAGGTTCATCCCCCTGGTGCCCCGGGAGCTTGGAAATCCCCGTCTGGATCCGCGGTGAGTGAAGACCCCATACCAGGGTGTCTTCAAACAGATGGAGGCAAGGGGAACCCCAGTTGCCCACTTGTGCAAAGTCACGATGAATGTAGGGGGGGGGGGGGGGGAAGGAATAAATATTAATAAATAAAGCCAGAAACAGCTGCAGAAGAAGCTGTTTTTCTTGGCAGAGCAGATTGTTCTCCCTGTATCTGGCAAGGGAAATGTGATGCTCGGAAAACAGAAGTGGGGAAAATCAAACTTAATCAGCGAGGGAACATAATAACCTGGTTCATGAGGAAAGCAGCATAACTGAAGGATGTTTTGTGTCCTGAGAGTGTAGAAGATATTTGTATGTGTGTTTAAATGTGTAAATATATGTGTGTGTTTATAAACACATCTCTGTATGTATATACCTGCACAATTACATTGCCGACTTTAACAAAATATGCCAGAAATTGAAAGTGCGAAGAGTTGATTTTTACAAAATCTAAGAGAGAAAGACCTATTTCCAGGAGTTAAGGATGAAAAATTCTGAACAACAGATTTTCCCCTAAGTTTGAACAAATTCCTTTGAAAGCGGTGGGTGACCCTCACCCTGCATTCCCAGGAGGAATGGCAGCACTGAGCTGAAATTGTCCACGCCATGAGAAAACACATCTCTTCTCATAGCCCTCCGTAAAGGGCCAGGGTTGAGGTGGAACACCTGTGCCGTTGGCAGAAGCCCCGTACTGAGGCATTTCTTGGTTCACGGACCCTGGCAGCCCATATGCGATGGACAGCACCAAGTCTCAGATGTCCCATCCAGGCTGGAGTAGATCAGAAGGAACCTGGAGGCCACCCGATATTCAACCAGGGGCACTTCGATGGGGGTCTCATGATCCCTGGTAACACACGGCTTCCCTACGAGATGCCTCCAGCCTCTTCACTAGCTGCCTAACATCTTGCTGCTCAGAGATATCTCTTCCATGGCTTAGGGGCGAAACGTTTCTCCAACTGCTCTCCCACTTTCCTCTTTTCTTTTTCGATTCAAGGCATACCCAGGCCCTCATCACCCGAGGAGAATTAAGGTACAGCATTCATGTTGTGCTCCTCTTAGAGCAGCTGCATGCGGTGAAGATGCAGCTGGGTCCTTCTCCCATCACACCGCATCCCAGCCCCGTTCTGTACCGGCTTTTTTTTTTCTTACAGAAGGAGGAAACTGGCCCAGCAGATCCACCTTCCCACGGCCAAAAGGTCAGTTCTTTTGTTTCGCCTTTTAATGCCGATACCCAACGGCGCTGGGGAGAGGCAGGGTAGTGATCCATCTGCCCAGAGCAGTCTCATTTGGAGGCTGAGGAATCACGGGTGAAAATTGGCCAGGCTGGTGGGTTCAAGGGGTACTAATCAACAGTTTAGGCCATTGGTAATGAGCAGAGATCCCAGGCTTGATCCAAACATGGGTTTTGTGGTTTGGGGATCCTTAGTCCCTCCTCTGTGACCTTCTCCCATCTCCCTTAAACTCATGGCATCTTTTAACATCTGCAGTAGCCTGGGGCAGGGAGACCCTCAGCTTAGCAATCATATCTGGCCCTTACTCTGCGATTTATGTTTTCTCTCTCTGCATTTCCACTGCACAGGATAGGAGGATAGGAGGTCAGGGACATCCCCAGTCTGGTTTGGGAATGCAAGTGGTGGAAATGCGGGGTTCCTCCACAGAGGTTTGCCAAAAGCTGATGCAGGAACAAGGGCAGCACCCTCCTGGTCCAAAGAGGGAAGGGAAAAATGCAGCAGTGCATGTTTGCAATTGAAGATGTTGCCTGTTGTTTTCCAGGGAGAAATGGGAGCTCCGGGAGCCCGTGGAGACAAAGGAGAAAAGGTGGCGGTACCGCTTTTCTGGCCTGAGCCTCTGAGAGCAGGAAAATGCTCCCTGTGCTAAGAGGGTCTGGAAAGGGAGAGGCAGCTGGAGACGTGCCGATGGAGAGGACGTTCAGGGTCTATGGGAGACTGTGCCGATGTAAATTGGGATTGCCACAGTCCCACCTTTATCCCTGAACTTGGCTGTGTGTTTCTGTTCCCTCCCTTCCAGCAATGCTAACACGCGTCTGCCACGCGCTCAGGAGTAAAAGCGAAAATTCAGGGTTTTTTCCTGACGTTCATTTTCTGCTGGATCAGAGGGGACAGACAAGCAAAAGGCACGAGGACAGGGATGGAAGAAGGGCCACACAAAACACCATTTCATGAACACTTTGGGCAGCAAAGGCTTATAGGGACCAAATGGCAGATGTGGGGTGGTGGGACCCAGATGTTCAGGAGAAAGGCAGACAAGGCAGGGTTCTTGTTAAAAGGCACAGCCCGATGGGGAAAGGGGACTTGCATGGGCTACCGTTTAAACACCGGTGTGATGCAGCATCCTGGGGACACAGGCATGAGAAGGGAGGGAGGAAGGGGAGGTGGCTGGAAGATGGATGGTTTTTGTCTTGCAGGGGCAGCCTGGGGAGATGGGGGAACCTGGAGAAAAGGTGAGCTGTGGAGTCGGTACCAGCAGCTGGAGCAGGACAGCGTTACCAGCTAAGTGGCCCAAATCCAGCACTGGAGATTGCCATAGTCATACTGGGTCAACCCATCTCGTTCCTAGGAGCAGTGTGGCTCTGTGTTAGGGCATTTGGCTCTTCCCCGGTCACCAGCCACTGTCCACCTCCTCTGGTGAAAAGAGGTGGAGGTCAGAGGGACCAGTTGCTCCATGCTGCTGTGGAGCACAACTGGAAACAGTTGCTCTTTCTCAGGGTTGCACTGAGGCGGTACTTCACGTGACCTCTTACACAGGCTTGGTAACTCTTTCTTTATTTCACAGGGCATCAAAGGAGACAGAGGTGAAACTGGTCAAAAGGTAAAGAACAGCGTTGGTACCACAGTCAGGGGTGTCTGTTCTTACACTGTGAGAACTTGCCTCCTGCTCGCCCTCCTCCTTTCACCATACCTAGCCTCCCCATCTCAGGGGGAGGTGTCCAGGTAACCTCCTGAGATGTGGGCTCAGTGTGGCCAATCACTCGCTGGGGACCCAGTATCTCTCTGTTGATGAGGCAGGGACTCCAGATGGCTCGCATAGACAGGACACCCACCTTATAAATGAGTAATGTCAGAAGATGAGAGTCTCACCCAGAGTCCTCTGATACCATCTCCAGCAATATTCCTGCAACTCAGCTCCCTCTTTTCTAAAGCTGCTCTCAGCAGCGTTGTCTCTCCAGGTCAGATAAGACTTCCCATCATCTAGAGGAGATGTGATGGTCAGTGAGGGCTCTGTAGAAACCCTCAATGTAGGATCAGCTCTGAGGGACTTTGGCTGGGTGTCCAGGGAGCAGCATGAAGCAAGCTCTCATTTTGATGGGCCCACAGTGGAAGGAGTGATCTTGATTTTTCCTGACCTTCTTCTCTTCACAGGGAGAACCAGGAATTGGGTTCAGAGGTCCCATTGGTCAGGCTGGGCCACCTGGATTTAAGGTAAGACTTTCTTCTCTTCTAGATAGGATCTCACTTGTTTTTTTCCGGGTCTTTCTCTTTGTAGTCCTTGCTTTCCACCACTGGTGGGGAGCACAGAACTGGCTTCGGCTACAAAGATAAAGCACCAAAGCCAGTCCTAGCCTGGGAAGGCAGGAACACCATCACATGGGTCTGGGACAGAGGGAGTGCTCTGTGTCCTCCAAAGGGCCATTTCAAAGCAGGTGAAGTCCAGAGGATAAATATCATAGAATCATAGAATGATAGAATGGTTTGCGTTGGGAGGGACCTTTAAAGGTCATCTAGTCCAACGCCCCTGCAATGAGCAGGGACATCTTCAACTAGATCCGGCTGTGAAATATGGCTGTGAAAAAAATCCAGGGAATTGTGGTCTCAGCAGAGATGCGTTTCTGTGATCCCTTGGGATGTTGAAGGTCTGCAGGTAAGGTAAGGGCTCCCCGCTTAGCAAGTCATGGTACAGCCCTTTCTCCAGCCCTAGGACTTCTTTTATGGACCAGGGCTGGAGGGGGTGTCCTCAATTCTGTGTACTGGCCATGTGAATTCAAGGAGACACCCCAGGCTTTCTCCAGGACCTTTAGGGGGGGCAGTTAATCCCACCTAAAATCCAAATTCCTTGTGATTCACTTAACAGGGTGAGCCAGGGGCCCCAGGACCTCCAGGAGCTCAGGGCATCCAGGGCATTCGTGGCAATGCTGGCACCCCCGGGTCACAGGGGGACAGAGGGGCTCCAGGTCTGCCCGGGATGACAGGACAGAAGGTAGGTGGTGTGCGGTGAGGGGACAGTGTGTGTTGTGTTAACTACCTTAAGGCGAGAACAATGATGGCCCGACTGAGACTGTCTACGCCACGTCACCCACCACTGTGTCAAGCCCCCACCTATCCAGGTCTCCAGACCCTGAGCCTATATGTAGTCAGTGAAGAGAAGCAGGAACAAAGCCTGGTGGCAAAAAGAAGGGTAACAGCATTTATTAGACCAACTGATGTTGTTGGGAAAAAAACAGGCCAAAAGATTTGGTACAGGGGGATGTCCTTCATGTTCAAAAATAAAAAAAGCACTGGAGCTCCAAGCAAGGTGGGGACCTGTTGTTCTTCTTTTAAATTTAGTGATGTGACTTGATGAGATGACAGGGAAGAAAAGGGGTGGCGATAGCACAGGGGATATCAGCAAGGGGTTTGGGGGGGTCATTAGCCCCTGGGAACAGAGGGAGCAATGGGTAAGTCTCATTGCAGGGACATGGAGGCGTAGCTGGAGGTGGGGTGGGGGACACTGTGCCTAAACTCAAGGTCTCGGTGTAGCTGGAGTCCCCTCTCCTCAACAACAAGAGGCCCACATGAGGAGGCTATTCCTCCTGCATGCTGCCAGTGCAGGGAACACCTGGGGGCACCAGCACCTGCTTTCTGTCTGGATGGGAGAAAGCAGGACCTTTCACATCAGGGTGTTCTCCTCCTTAAAGGATTTTGTTTTCAAGGGCGAGCGTGGAAAGAGAGGCCGGAATGGATTTGCTGGGCCCCCAGGACCATCAGGATCCCCAGGAAATGAGGTGACTTTTGTACATTGCCCCTGTGTCTTTTGAGCAGCAGAGGGATGGCTGGGGGAGAGGTTGAGGCCCTGGTACGTGGGGTGGGTGTGCTTTCACCCTCTTGGAGCACTGGGACAGGAGATCATCGAGGACTTGCAAAGCACAGTCCTCCCTTCTATTTTGTTTTGCTTGCCCTCCAGGGGATTCCCGGGACACCTGGACCCAAAGGCAACAAGGTCAGTGCCGACCTGCAAGGCAGGTCACAAGTAGCTGAGATCCTGGAGTGGCAATGGGACAGCCCACTGCCCTCCCCTGGCTCCTTATCCCTGACCCCATCCAGCCACTTCATCCCTCTTTCACCCTCGTGCCCTTCTTCCCCATGGTTGCTGGAGCATCCTCCAGAGAGAGCAGCAGAAAGTCACTGGAACTGAGTCTCCCGACTCTTTCTGTGACTTTTAAATCATGGTCAAACTAATCATCAATCATGTGATGTGGTGTTCTTGCTCCGAATGAGACCTCTCGGATTCTCTGATCTGCAGGGAGAAATCGGTGTTGGAGCAGCTGGCCCAAGAGGTCCACGCGGACTGCCTGGCCCCCAGGTAGGTCCCTCCATAAATGTTCCTGGGTTGGCTTCTTGCAGCCTACCCTATTTTTGAGGCAGCTTTATACCATCACCTCCCACTCACCCATCTTAGAAGATGCCTAAAAGGCTGATTTCAGAGCCCTCCTTAATTTTTCACCAGCCAGATTTGGAGGTGATGGACACTGCTATGGCCAGCCGGAGCTGGTACTGACCAGAATCTGTCCACAGGTCACAGTTGGCATCCCCTCCATAATTAGACACCCTCAAGCATTACAGATCGCACTGGTCAACTGCATGGCCAAGTGAATCCTGCACCACTGTGTTGGCTGTGCTTTCACTGGCTAGGTGGGAGCGTTGAAGTCAATATCTACACCCCTACATCTGCGTGTTTTAATCCGAGCAGCTTGGTGAGGAACCACCTCGGTTTTGTAGTTTTGAGGATGCTACCTGCAAGCTCATTCCTTCAGAAATCTGCCTCCACCTTTTTTATCCTCGTTCCCCTCTTCCTTCCCGTTGTCCTGGCAGAGGGAAACCAGCCTCCATCGTCCTTGGGGCAGCAATGTTCACTTTTCCTCACGCTGCTGCGAAGTTTTGGTCTCCTTCTGTCAAAGACCCCAGGGAGACCCTCTTGAGTCGTAATCAGAGGCCACGTTTCAATTTGTTGCTTCTGTGGCTGTTCCATGAATAAACTGATTTTATGCTGCAATCCATTTAGACAAACTCCCCATCTGCCAGCAGAACCGTTCAATGAGGCCCCTGAGACAAAACACTTAATGAGAATGTCAACAGCTGTGAAAGGTCTGGGGTAAACCTCGCTCAAGCTTCATTATCTGAAGGAAATGATGAAATAATGTTTCTGCTCTTCTGACTCCAGCATAAATCTGGAGTGAATCACAGAATCTCAAATTACATTGGCTTTATATGAGAGATCTAAATTTGGCCTCACAGGACAATGCCTATGTCTAGGCATCTTAAAGACAGGTAAGTCTTGTAGGATCTACCTAGGGAGGTCATAAAAGGACTTCATAGACCCACCAGCACAGCTATCCCTTGTAGCAAGGTTTATAAGGAGCCAATAGCACACTTAAAGGGAGGCTCAGAACAAGGTTTGCAGCATCTGGAAACCACAGCTGGGCATGAAGGTAACCTCACATCGGTCTCCAAAGGCACAAGTTACTGTTGAGCAGTTGACTGGTGACCTCTTCCTTCTGAAAGTCAGTGGTATGAGTTCCAAGTGAATTCCTGGCTGCCTTATTTGTTTTGGTGAGTCCTGCTAAAAAAAGAATGTGCAGAAAAGCTCCTGAGCCCTCTAAACAGGGGAAAGAAATCTCTCTGTCCCAGGAACACCTCAGTCCTCTGTCCCCTGTTGCACATGCCTTTGTCAGATATAAGTACATCATGGGGAGGGACACACCAGGTCATCCAGCCTCAGATGGCTTCTTCTGAACTAGTCCTACCAGAGCCTCTCCATACCAACAGAGAGGAAGAGACACCTTTTTGGAGTGATTTATATCATGCTAAATCAGGTGCAGATCATCTCACAAATGCCTGTTTTGCTCAGGGACTGAGGAGAAGCTGAAGCTTGAAACTTCAATCTGACCGAAGCATTATTCTTTAAACACTGCAGTGTCTACCTGCAGTGACGTGTGGATGATCTCAAGCCTTTCAGATCCTATGGATCTTTGATCCAGATCCATAGGAGCATTAAGGCACCTAATCCTGATGGAGGTATAAGTGAAGAGGTTGGAGAACTCTTTCGAGGATCTGGGCTTCTGCATGCTTAATTCCTGTAGTCCCCAGTGGGATGGTTTGCAGAGTTGGGACTGTGCGTGTTGCGTTTCTCTTTGCTGATGGCCATCACTACCCCTCTCCATCCTAACAGGGTGACGAGGGCATCGTGGGAGTCCGGGGCCCCACTGGCAAGATGGTGAGTGTTAAAATAGCACGGAGAGCTGATTTTACGGCTCGGACAACAGTGGGCCCAGGGCTGGCAAAATCCCCATGAGCAATGAAAAAAATAAAATGGGTTGATGCTTTCAGTGGAAAATAGAGACTTTGGGAACCTGAATTCCGATGTTGTGTTGGGGTGAGTGATGTAAATCCTGTAGGCAGCTGTGAGACATAAGGTGTCATGCAGAGCACAACTGCTTTATGCTCTTGTCCATTTGGCTGGCTCATCTACAGGCTTCTTTTGAAGTCCTCCTGAAATATCACTCCCTCTCTGTTCTTCTTCATCAGGTCTGCTTGCCTGTGTGAATTTCAGGGTCTTGTTCTGTTGTAAATTCCCTTTTCACTGAGTCAGGGGAAACGCAGATCACAGTTGGTATTTCGACAAACACCTTTTTATTTATTAGGCTGTTATCTCTAATGGAATCAAGCTGTTATTATGAGCAAGATGGGCCTTTATGAAGTTCCTCAGAAGGCCAAGAGCGTTTCCTGTACCAGC